GACCTTTTCTGTCTTTTGACTGAAAACTGAAACGACTTCTGATCATTTTTGGCCAAAAATATTTCCATGGCTGTAATTTTGGTTCATTGCTAATTAGAATATTGGTGTTTGATGGGTCAGTGTGCTGTGACCTTAATATTTTGCAGGAGTATAACAGCGCAGTGTATTGCATTGTGTCATATTTAATTTTGTAACACCTTATTATATGACATTGGAAAACTGACAGCAAAGGTGTGGTTACTGTGGGTATTTTCTCGTATGTCTACAACCAAAACTGAAACCACAGACTGATGTAGTTCTGAAATGACTCGCTATCCAAATCACTGATTCTGAACTGTCTGACACTTCTGTCACCACATACCCCCCACATGGAAAACCTTGCTTGTGTAAAGGCAGGCCTTATAGGAGGCGTGACATATGGAGCATGGATTTGAGGCTGGGTGACTTCTACACACCATGCTTTGTGGCTTAACGTAACTGTCACTTTCTACATCTGTGTTCATGCTGTAAAATATTGCTTTCCAGATGGTCCATGTGTGGGCCTGCTGTCTTGCTCAAATATGGATCTAGTTCTCTAGGGTCTGCTGAACGTCGTTCTTTGTAGTATTGTGGCTGGATGGTCCACAGTGGCAGGGATACTGAGGTTATAAATGTTCCCTATCTCATTTCTCACTTCACTGATGTTAATTTGAAACAATACAATTTGTTTCCATTGCAGAAAATCAGAAAAAAAAATTACCTGTAATTTGCAAACTTTACTATTACTTGCTGTTGTCTAACAAACTGAAATCGATGTAGAGGCACCAGATGTAGCACTCAAATGTAATGACCTAAACAAGATGGCTGCATTTCTGAACATAAAAAACACTCAAACTGTTCCATCATTCTATCTTTCGTCCCCTGGGTGATGGCTGGGTTTTCCTGACTCATATCCTGCCAAAATTAAGGGTGTTCTTGCTGTCAGGAGCTGTTAAGATAGAGTGGTGATTTGTGCACTTTTTGGACACCCAGGCCCTTGTCAGCGCAGGCTGTCAGACAAGCAGCAAGTAACAACGTGCCCTGTAGCTTACTGTAGATAAAAGAAGCATACAGCCCATGGAACGTATTAGCTGGCTAATAAAATCAGCTGATATTAAGATTTGGTGGATTTATTAGTATCCCATGAATTAGCACTGATTTTACTGATGTAATATAATGAACATATATTTCCATGGTAAGGAAAATCACTCATTTCTGAAAAATCTTAATTTCATGTTCGTACACCACTGTTCAGAGAAACTGCTAAGTAACTAACTGCTCTCTTAGCAAAAATGGTTCTATATGGTACCAAAGAAGGTTATATGGCTTGCAACAACAGTAGTACCTCTTTAGTGCCACATAGAACCTTTTTTTTTCTTTTTTGGTGAAGTTTCTTTAAAGAACCATATACAGCAGGTTAACCATCATGAAGAAGAGCAGTGTAACCATGCAAAAATGAGATGTGCAGTCTGATATATTGGTACATATACGAATGTTATTACCAAACAATTAATTTCCAGTCAAAACGGCCATTAAGTTATTCATTTATAAGAGATATAGATAAGAAGATTAGTGTAAGATAGTCCATTTGCACAAGAGGGGGGAAAGATAAGAAGAAAGAAGTGAAAAAAACTTTTCCATAACTGGTGCTGGTTGCACCAACAGGTCTTACACCTGGTTGTAACTTTTTGGGCTAACTTAACTATAATTATGAGTATCAACGGTACATGATGAGCTAACTACATATTACAAAATATAAAAAAAAGATTTTTAAACTCAAATTAACTCTGATTCTGGTTTTGTTTTATTAGTGTCAGAAATAGCTTTTTCTAATTTTTTTCATGTGTTTGGTAGCCCTCTGTGATAAAGAAAAGCAACGTAGCAAATGTTTACAACAGAAGCAGATGGCAGAGATGTTCTTCCAGAGCTTAAGTCTAATTTCTCCATGCAGAGAAATGTGAAGAGCTGTGGTGTGTGTATATTTCAGGGATGAGTTGATTGGGAGGGAGTCACCCACTGCAAATTACGTCTTTGGATGGTCAGAGCTCAAAAAGGTGGAGGAACTCTTTTTTACTGTGTGCCCACCCCCCTGAACACTCCTATGTTGACTGTTATTTTCTTTTTAAATTTAAACTGTTAAGATGCAGATCCATTAGGGTGACTTTAATCAGACTCTATAATATGATCAGTATGCAAGTATCATTGTTTTACCAGAGGTGGGTACAGCTGTTTTGGTTAGTAACTCAGTATACTCAGCAGCGATCATTATTACATATATTTTCACATGAACTCGCACCGCAAAGACCGGCCTTAGTTGCACATGACATAACTTTGGTTGGTGCAACAGGTGTAAAGTCCTCTCTGAAAACTGGTTTTAGGTATAACTAAGTTAGCAGTTAAGACTCTCTTAGGTCAGACCTGTTGGTGCAACTTTAACAAAGAGTTAAAAAGAAAATGGGACTCCTAACAACCATGCAAGACCCGGTAGATCGTCAAACCTGTCACCGTGAGATAAACAGTAAAGCTTTCATCTTTGAGAGTCATGAAATATGTTTGGGACTGTTTGGATCGTAAAAACATAGAAAAAGAAAATAGAAAATGCAACCAACTTCTAAGACTGAACTTTGAAAGTGTGGGAAAAATGTCCCTGCAGACGTCTTTGAACAACTGAAGTTCAAAAGTCCCTGGAAAAGAATAGAAACTGTGATAAGGACAAAGCGCACTAAACACTGAAAATTTAGTTTTGCACAGTACTGTACTATAAAAGATCTTGTGACTTTTTGGTACACAGTGTTAGTAGCATGTATTGCAGCTTATATTTTCTGACTGTCAGTGTGGTTAGTTGAACGTGCTCGAAATGTATTTCTAATCACACTTCTGACAGAAGTGCTCAAATTAATCTGCTGCTCTACTGTGGCTAAATCTCCTATCTACAGGCCTCTGTGCCCCCCCCCATACCAGAAATGCTTTTTTTAGACACCAACAAATCAATCTAATAAATTGCTTGCATTTAATTTGGTGTGTTGCCGGCGCAGGGATTATTTTGTGTGTTAATCTGAAAGTCCGGTTACAGCAGTGTGCAGTGTGAAAACTGGAGCGAGAAGTAACAGTGTGTCCCTCACACACTCTTGCACTCATTTTCTTTCTCTCTCTCTCTCTCTCTCTGTACAAATAATATCTGTCTGCTATGTTTTTTGATTCTCCTTTGTGTACTGAGGTTTTTGTTTGTGAAGTATGGGCATACTCATTGCTTTCTTTTATTTTTGAATACACCTTGCGTTAACGTGTGTTTTCGGTGATCACATCACATTCGAATTTGAATTGACCGCATTAAAGCTAGGTGTAAACACCCCAGGACACATTGTGAATGAGTTAGATTACTTAAACTACATTCAAAGGTGATGAGAGACAGGTCTTGATGGTATTTAACACACAAGTGTAAGCAGAATGCATTTTTATTATCCTTATACAATGAAATGAAAAGGCTGTTGGAAGCATCCAGGCCAAGCTTGTCCACTCGCAAGAGTAAAACAGAAATGACATATGTGTCGACATGTTTTATGTGAGAAAAGTACAATCGGATTTCATCAGGCCACACTGGGGATGGATTTTAGTGAAAAATGTAAGTTTATCCAGATACAATCTGGACACAACACATGTTAAGGCTTAACTTTCTTATTGGTCAAGCAAAACTTGCAGCCTGTAATTCAAAAAAATATTGAATTAGAGATCCGGTCAGGAAATTGTATCTCTTCATTCATTCATTGTTTTATGGTTGTTTATTGCTTGTTTCTAGAATTGTTTGAGTTTGTTTTGCAAAGCAATAAATTATATGGAAAGGTTCCAGGTCAAAAACTACTTAAGTACTGAGTAATTTACAGAACTACAATGGATCTTCCTAGTACATGCAGCATCTGTCTGCCGAGGAACTGAAGTTGGGTGCTGTTCTCTTTTTGATGCACTCTTGGTTTTAAGTGAAATGATAAACCTCAGCAATCCAGAGGTCTGACCCATCAAAAAGCAGTGGAGATTCTGTCATCAGTGTAACAGAAATGATTTAGGAATGTTAAGGACAAAAATGTAACAAGTAAAAAGTAGATTCATTTCTACACAAATTTACTTGAGTACAAATCCTTTAAAATGTTGCTTGAGTAAATGCAGCTGAGTGAATGTAAGTAGTTACTGCTCACCACTGACAGAGAGAGAGTTGATCTTTGCTATTGCACGGGGTTAAAATCGCTCAAGATGAATCATAAAACATGGTTCTTCATGATTTGGACATAAAATGTGATGTTCTGTAAAGCTGTTGGATATCATGATGATAATGTGTGTAGTGATAAATTGTGATTAAAATAGGGTACATAAGAGTGGATGTGCAGGATTTTCTTGATATGTAAATAAGTCTAATTAGTCTCTCCTTCAAGAAATTATCAAAAAGAAAAAAAAATACAAGCACTCTTCATTATTGTGCTAAATAGTATTTTCTCCTTTTTTATCTGTATAGACCTACAAAAACAAACATATTTTCTCATAACACTCCTCATGGTGATGCAGATTTGACATGAGCATAGCCATTACTGCTTTACACATTTTACACACATCATTTTTACAGGCCATTAGTTCAGAATAGAATGTTTTTGAGCAGTTTATTTGTGCACTGTGAAACTGGTCGTTTACTTGAATGGTGAAGTTACTTGCTGCATGTGAGACAGCACAGTTTAAGCCCAGTGCAGCGAAGCACTTCTTGGTTCTAAGGCCATGTTCCCATCAATCTTATGTCACGCTCCATTCGGTTGTCACAGTCCTTAACTATGTTTTTATCTTATTTTGCAAAAAACAATAAAAATATAATTTAAAGTATCAAATATCACATAATTTTTACAAAGTGTTGCGCAGGTGAGCATTGTGCTGACTAGTAGTCAAAAGTAGTCTTTGTTAAGCGTTTTAAAATCTCTTTCTCACACTCTCTCTTGTTTTTCTAGATATCCAGGAGTTTTATGAAGTGACCCTGTTGAACACTCAGAAGAGCTGTGAACAGAAGTTGGAGGAGGTGAACCACATGGCAGAGCAGTGGGAACACTCGACCACTAACTCTTCAACCACACACCCACAGCCAGCCTGCGCACAGCCAGAGGTGAGAGATAGGAGATACATACATATATATATAGTCGCTCACTTATGCACTCGGCCTGGCCTTTACGCTCATATGCACATATGGTGAAGGAGTAAGAGAATCTTCCCGATGAACTGACCAAACGAGTGCAGTTCTTTTTGTGTGAGTGAGGAGGCAGTCCCTGTGGGGCTGCCGTCCAGCGCCTCTGTGATCACTGCAGCAGGCCCACATACGCCTACTCTAATTCAGCTAAATCCTGTCACTGCATCGCTCCAAAGTAGTGGTAAGGGGAGAATGCTCTATGCTTGACTGAACCATATGGCAATGCAGATACCTGGCTCACTGTGTGAAATGATGGAGAAATAATCCTTGCATTGAGAGTACATTGACAAAGTAATACTCTGAAAGTACTTGATTCAAATGTGTACGTAATTTCCATGTGAATAAAATAGACTACATCAACAGCCCCTTTTACACATGCACTTTTATTCAGGAATTCAATGGAAATTAATCAAGAAGGAATAAAGTGAAAACGTAAGTCAAAATCCCAGGAAGACTGACACAGCAATCAACTGGGACAAGGCCATCCTTATATTTTGTGTAATGGGACTATGACAGCAAATGTGAATGTATACATCATGATAAAATAGAGCTACATGTTTGAATGATGCAAAGCCTGAATATCACCAGTAGAGATATGCTGATAATGTAGCAAGTTTTGAGTTGATGATAGAGCTGAAAGATTGTTTGTTTGTTTTTGTATTAAAATAAGAATTTAAACAAGTGCAATTCAATTGGCCTCGCTCTCTCTGGGTGGGTGGGATGGCCCCTCCTTCTCTCAGTGCGATGCTAGTCAGCGCAGGCGTCTGTTAGCTGACGTAACAGATCTGGCGGTTGGCGCTTTCCTCCGAGCGCGTTTAGCTGTCCAGTGACGTTGCGTGAGCGGCAGTAGAAAAGAAGCAGTGGTTGGCTTCACAGGTCTCGGAGGAAGCCTGTGTTAGCCTTCACCCTCCTAGCGTTGATAGCATTGTGTGATTGGGGGAGTCCTAACTAGCGGGTGGGATTGGAGACGACTAAATTGGGGAGAAAATTGGGTAAATAATTAAAAAAAAAAACAAAAAAAACAAGTGCAATTTACAAATCACAAGAACTGCAGTTTGTATTATAGCCCACATTATTAACAGCATTGTCTTGGCTAAGTGAGGAAAGTTAACCTAAAAACAGAACTTGTGAACTGTCTATACGTGAGTCAGACCAATTAGAATCAACTAAACATCCAGGTGCTGTGAACAACACAACCTAAGCTAACTGGTAGTCTGGCGCACTATGTTCAGCATTAAATGATGCCACTATCACGCTTTACAAGTACATAAGTATATTCTGTCTTCTTGCCGTTCCATAAAATCAACTGCATGTTTCAATAAAAAGAACTTAAAATAAGGCTGTCAAGAGGCATATTTGTTTGTGGTTTCATCCTGATATTGAGTTTAAATCTTGACAGTGCCCTGATAGCATAAAAGTCTGAGTTGTCAAAACTCAGATAAGTGGAATACCATCGTATGCATTCTGTATCTTGAAAATGTCTTCAGGTATCATAACATTATATTTTTGTGATGTTGCTAACATGTACTCTTTTGGGGCAGATGTGTATTCAGTAAGCTAAATTGAACTTAAATAAGTATAAAATATTTTATGCCTTCATGATGAAGTGAAAGAGTTGTGTAAGAGCAAACTTGCACTGACCTCCACACTAGAAATTTGCATTTTGAATGATTTTGATATTTGACCACAAGGAAGGAAAAAATTGCTTTTCACCTGATATCGACTTATTATAATACCCAAACTGGTAACTGGTGACATTGTGCTAGCAAAGTTAAAACATGAATGAAAATGTAGCAACTTACAGAGGTGTAAGCTTAAGGTCACTTCACTTGAGTCACAGAGGCTGCCTTGAATGAGTTAATAAGCTAACACTAACACTAGAGCTAACTGTTGCAGCAGTAGATGGTGTTGACGTCATCTTTTACACAAATGTTTTTCTCTACTGCGGATGAAGATTCGGACTTGTTAGTTTATCAAGGTAACGCAGAGAGCAGAGAATTTTTTCCTTTTGTTTCTGGTTCTAGCCACACTACCTTTGCCTTCGCAATCCCATCCTTAACAGAATGTGTTCTCAACAACTTGTGTTTCATGGTAGCAGAGTACAATATAACATACTTAATCGTAAACACACACAAAACGGACACACAGTACAACTCTGTTAAAACTTAATTTAATTAACTGAATCATTGACCTCTATATTTTCTCGGGCCTCTGTAATGGAACATAACAAGTACCTGTGACGCTTTCGTTGTTCAAATACTTGCACTGGGAACAGTTAACTGAGTACTTGAGTACCTCCCTATCACATACTGTCATCTACACATCTATTTTTTTACTTTGTGCCCTGGTTCCATGAGGCCTGTAGCTTTTTTAAGGAGGCTGGATGATTGGGAAGGTGGTGCTGTACAGTCTGATTTTTCAGTTAAGAGTTTGTCTTCTGGACCCAGAGGAAGGAAAACATCCCAGAGGTGCCAGGAGCAGATTCTGTCTTATGCTTTGTGTCTCTGCCGTCCATACTGTGCCATAACAGCTTCTTGTTTCATTTCCCACCATTACGTATTCTGTCTTGTAGCACATTAAAAGTTTTTAACTTTTAACCTTTGGTAATTCCAAGGCTTGTCGTGTGCATGTGCGTGTGTGTGTATCTGTCCTCCGCAGTGATGTATGTTCAGAAAGCAGGAAGGCAACATTCTAATTAAGGAAAACAGAAACAGCCCTGGCTTTGTGAGGAATACAAATGACTCCATCTGTAAACCTGACAGTACTGCTAAATAACATTGCCTATTGTCAGAGCACTCTTATTGTCTCATGTATTACTTTCTGAGAATGCAGCCTACACAACAACCTAACTAAGTTCTTAATTAGTCTAAGAAATTGGACCAAAACAATATGTTTACTTGAGTGGAATTAAAGACTGGTTAATTTAGTCTGACTAACTACCATGTGAAAGTGCCCCCTTACGCACCTACATTTATTCCAACATGTATAAACCTCCCACTATTTGAAAATATCAGTGACTGTTATTTTCCTTCCATTAATGTATTTTTTTCACGTAATGCTTAAGAGAATTATATACTGATTAGTGGCCAGTTTTTAGTAAACATGTTTTATGTCTGCACACATACATTGACTTGCACAGTAGGATTTTGCATTCTGAATCATTTTGATATTGGAGTGAGACTTAATGAGCTGAAAGCTGGTTAGCCACAGGGAATAGGGAAGAAACACAGTGGCTTTTCCCCTGAGATTAACATATTATAACACATAAACATGATAAATGAGTGAAATTGTGCTGGCAAGGTGAAAAAAATCAGTAGCATGAATGCAAATTTAGCAGTTTACAGAGGTGTGCATTCAAAAACATGTCTTATAATTAAAAAATAGCGTAGGGAAATCTTTACTTTACTTGAGTAACAGAGTCTCTTAATAAAACCAAAGATTTTTTCCAGCTAGCCCAATGCTGTGAATTTGTTTTTCAGAAGGACATAGAGTACCCGAAATATCAATATCATTGGCACTCTAGGATGCCTGTGTGGAAGATATACTGGACAGTTCTAGTGAGAAAACTATGGGTAAATCAACAAAATGTAACATCGTAGAGCGAGAGTGCTACAGTTGCAGAGGACAGGCAGACACTGTTTCTCCCACAAGATGTCAGTGATGAAAACTAGAAATTGTGGTTTCAAGTGTTGGTTCACGTGAGCCCTGTGTTCACATGATAAACACAATGTTACAGAATACATTAAATACATTCTGATGAATCTCATATTGCCCACTCATACCAATAAAATGCAACACAATACACTGCTTTTTATATGGAAAATTAGAAAAAAAATTGACAAATGTGATTCACTGTGATCACAAAATCGTGAGCACAAAATAATGCAATTAATAGCAGTTAAAAGTAAATATAAAGTATGTAAATTTATATTTACTTGCAAATGGCAATAAAGAAGAACTTCCACTCCCCCTAGAAAGTGTGTACTATCTTGGTTTGTGTCACTTGCAGAAAATACCATAACTATCACAAAAACTAAGAATCAGTAGAGTGATCCAAGCATTAACTTGTCCAAATCAGTCTCTAATAGTCTTGCCATTAGTGGCCTGGACCAGAAGATCATATCTTGTATCGTAATCAGTTTCCTATGGGACACTGATTATATTACAGGGTGTCAGAGCTGAAAGAGAGTTCCAGTTTTGAAACATTTACAAGTGCTTTGAAATATTGTATGATCAGACCCACTTTTATATGGTCACTGTGTTTGTTCTAAATGTTCTGCTTGTTCTAAATGTAGTAAAAAGTGTTTAGGATTCTTTCCTTACAATGGTCTAGACTTGTTTAGATCTCTAGTGCTTACTTAACTCAGGGGTTTGATGGCTATGTGATCACACTGTGTCATGCGTAAAGAGTTTTTTATAATGTAGCGACCGTTTTTTCATGCAAACACCATTTATAGGCCTTGGTTGAAATGAGGAGAGAGGAGAATCAGCATTTTAATGTGATATAGCCAAAGACTGGCATTGTTTGTTGATTGATTTGTGTTATTTTCATCCACTAGGGGGGGCTGGCTCTGTTTGTGCACATACTTCACTCTGGCACTCTCACACTAACTGTCAGAGGACTATACAGTGATATCTTGATGAAAGTATCCATTGGGATGCTATGTTTTAAAACTGTAGAGCACAATGACCTAAGGCAAACCCTTTCATGGCCACCTTACAGTCTTTGCAACTTAAAATGCACTGATTGATGACATTAAAAGGCCCAGTGTGGTGCGCTACTCTTTCTCTATCCAGAGCAAACTTCTAGAATGGGAATACAGGCAGATGAATGTACTTAAATTCATCAACCATGGAACATATTTTATAGTGAAGCAGTCACTCTCTGTAGCCTACATTGATATCCAAACAACATAATGTTTTTACTCTGCCTGTGGCATCCTGTGATAGTCTGACAGTTTTCAGAGTTGGATGCTTATGTATCACATTATCATGTTTTATCATAAAAAACAAGAGAAAATCACAATAACTTAATGATGGGTGTGACATAAGGCTACAAAAATTAGGTCATATCAAGGTAACATTAGCTAAATTGTGAACACAGCCATACTTCCCTATGCTTCCCCTTGTTTCTTTGAAAGCTTGAATTGAGATAAGTTAGTGAAAGACATTAAAATAGCTATAAGTAAAATAGCTAATAAGTTTAAACAAAGAGCAATAGCCAAATACACATTCATTTGTTTGACTATAATTTTTTCTGTTAAGCAACATACAATGGAAGAAGTTAAGCATATCCTCAGTCACTTGCTTAACCACCACAGAGCTGAGAGATGAAGATAAGCAAAGATAGCACACTAGATAATCAGTTTTGTTTCCTATCGATGGCCTATAAATATGAATTGTCGTAAATCTATATGAATTTAGTATAAAACTGAAATAACTCACTGATTTGTCAGTCCTGAACTAGATTTATGTTCGTCTTTCAACGTTCACTCACATTGTATCATCACTCAATAAGCAAAAATCCAGTCAGACTCATCTGTCTGCTTATCTGACATAACATTACCTCACATCAGATCTTGGCCTCTTTAGGACGTCCATCGAGAAAAAGGATAAAAGGGTAAAACTCATTGTTAGAAATAGAAAAACTGGAATATTTTAATAAAAAAAAAATTTAGAACAAATGATCACACTATGGTTAATTAAGTAATTATGGTTAATTATAAAGTGATATTATAGTTTTAGAGGGTAGTTATTGAGAACTAATATTGGAGTGCTTGTTCTAAAACACCAGTGAGTATTCAAAGAAAGTAAAGTGCTGTTTAAGCCAGCCCTAAAGTTTACAAATGCAGTAAAATGAATAAAAAGCAGAGATTTTTGTGCAGCAGCCCAGCGTCGCCTGTCATTTGCTGTCTCGCTTTTCATGCATTAGAATGGGTAGGATAATAAATTTATACCAAGAATGTGTGGGTGGGACATGGATTTTATACAAGTGAAAGGCCATCAGCACACGTTAAAAATGACTGTTATGCCATGGCCTGTTCCGTAGCCCATGCTTCAACTAATTGCTAAAGTTGATTCTTTGTTTGTAAAAAAAAGAAGCGTTATTCTTACTCCTGTCATTCTGTCACTGAATATAATGGCAGTGTTTTGATGGAGGTCAGTCTCCTGGGCTGCATGTCTGTTCTGTATTAACCAGGCCATGCATGCTGGGTAAAAATAGCCCAGGGACCAAAGTGGCAAACAAATGAGTTTAGTAACCGTGGCTCAGCAGAGGATTAGTGCTGAGAGATGGCCTGGAACGGGGTCACCTAGGCAGGTACATTGGTCGCCAGTCCAGTGAAGAGTCTTTCTTCACTCCTCTTTGCTCTTCTTCTGGCCTCAAAGATCTGAAGGGGTAGATGACCCTTCAGTCAATCAGTCATTTGTATGTGCGAATGTGTGCTAGAATGCCTTGCTATCACTTATCGTGTTATGCAAGAAGCGTGTGAGTGTGTTAGAGCAAGCAAGTGAGAAGCCGTCTGGCCTTACTAGAAAACATGGCTGTAGATCTGTGTTCCATATGTGCAGTTTACTTGGTGCATTATGCATAATGTTTACGAGCACTAATCTTTCAGATGCTGAATTCTGTTTGATTCTGTAGAAATCATATCACAGCATGTCATTACTGAGCATTCATAAAGCAAAATATTTGTTTTCTTGTGTTTGGACATGAGAATATCACTCCCAGTAGACCCATAATGTGTTTCCTAGCTGTCAGTTTGATGTTCCCTTAGAGATACTGTAAGTAAATGATTTAATCAAAGACAGTTGGATTGAAGTGAATTGAATAGAAGTGAATGGAGAGAGCAGAATGCAGAAACGAATGACCAGAACGTGCTATGGAGACCATTAATTAAGTTAATGCAGTTTGAGACAAGTTTGTGAGGATGTAGGCATGCAGTTTGTTCTATGCTAGTTGCTGGGCTTGACGTTTGTATTGCTTAGCTACATTCATTCTTATTTCCTGTTCAAAAACGATACAACTAACGAATCTTTGAACACTAAATGTGTGATTTATTTTATTTAGTGTAATAGGAAAATAACAAATGTAATTTTTTGCTAAACTATTCCTTTAATAATAACTTCTTAATTGGTGCATTTTGCTGAAAACACTTCTTAACAATGCAAAACTGTGTTCTACCCCTTGATTTTAGAGTCACATTCCAGTGCCGGCATATGCTGGCCATGGTCTGTTCATTCATTGTTATGCCTGTCAGATGTCTTCATGGTTGTGCAGCGGCGTCAAGTGTTTTCCATTCTCATTCAAGGCCACTGAGATGCTCAATAATATTACATAATAATGTCCAATAGATTGAAGGAGAGCAGTCGCAGGCTTCCTACACAGGGCATATTTGAGGCCTAAAAGGAATAGTTCAGCATAAAATTAATAAGTTTACACAATTTCTCCCTAAGCCTAAAAGCTAATCAGCCCAGGCAAGTCTGGGTCTCAAGTTTACTTCAGTTTTGCACTGGAGCTATGAGGCTAATGTAGCAGACAAGAATAGAAAAGCTTATATTCCAGCAGTTAGCATAGTACAAACTACATGCCTAAATTATCATAGATGTGCCTCAAACCAAGGGTCATCCCTATTCAGTGGGATTAGTTTAACATTAGGAGGTGGAGTAATGTAAATTTTACCTGTATTTCTCAATGATTTTAGCCCCATCCGAGTGCTCCATTTTTACCGACTGCACACTCCCACTTCAGTACAGATTGCAGTGCCTTTTACTTTCGAGCAGTAAAACAAGCAGTAGAAATAACCTCAAGTTCTATTAATCCCATGTGAATCAACATAGCAGTTTTACCAATATCATATCCTATAGAAAAGGTTTTTCTTAAGTGTGGGGCACTTAAAAAGCACTTACTTTTGTTCTTTGTGGCTAAAATCAAGCTGATATGTAACGTTACTGTCCTATCTTACAGGTGTAACTTATTACAGAAAGAAAAAAATGATTTTATGCGGTAAAGTTGACTGTTTGCTGTTATTTCCTAAACTAATGGTGATGCTAATGATGCGCTGAATTCACTCCTATCTATGTCATTTATACCGTGATTGCGAATTGGCCATAAACATTACAGACGTCCTGTGGTAAACTGACATTACCTCTCCTCCTAATGGAAAACTGATTCTGTCTGAATAGAGAGGTTGTCTGTTGCCTGGTGTCCCTGGCTACAACATTTCACATTTTAGACACTAAACATGCAGAGCCTGTAGCCTGAGAGTTGTTTTTTTCCCTTAAACAAACTACCAGAGTAGGTGTGTTTTCATTCATTCACAAATAATCATAGCCTGCTGCAGTGCCTGGGCAATTAAAATGTGGCTTTATTGCCAGTGGGAGTGCTGACAATAAAAAAGAGTCAGATAATGATGCCGATTACAAAAGAAAGACAAATTATAACATTCAGAATCGAGGAAAAGAAAGAATTCATGTGGCTGGAGTGTGATTTTCAGAAGCATGTGCATTGTTAAGTGATCTCAAATAAACTTGTTTATGTGGTGTCTGACACTGTATGACAGACAGTTATCTATAGAAACAGACAAATATGCAGAAAAGACTTGGCTACTACTGCTGTTTCTTACTATGCAGCACACTTTTAGTGGCGAAAATGATGTAAATTAGATTTTATTCACCAAACTATCCCTTTAATGCTCCCAGATGGGTGATACTGTTGTATGTCTGCTGCAGTGACTACTGAGAACAGATTAAACAGAAGAAATTAAATAAATAGAACTGCTAAAAAGTTGAAAGACTATAGGATGTATAAATATGTTTTTTGCATGTGCAGGTGATGGAGAAGAGCCACGTGGAGCTGAGTGTGGAGGAATCAGCACCGGACAGCAACACAAATGCAGAGGTGAGTATTCTTTCTGGGCGTACAATGGGGCCAACATGAGCACTAAACAGGTGCAAAGACCACTACACACAGCCACAAATGCTAGAATGGAGGCTACTATATACTACATCCAGCCTAATATATGCACAACACATACACACATGATCGCTGGTGAGTATGTAGAATGCTTCACACCTCCTTGTCCAGAGCAGAAAGCAACAGATTGTCAGCCTGCAGTGTTTACAGTAGGGAAGGCCTCTGCAAAGCGGGTGGAGATCTTTCTCCAGATGCTGTTTTCTTCGGTTTCCTTTTTTCTGGTTGTTGTTAACTGAAGAAATAAGGTATTTGCTATTGTTTGGAGGTGTTGTGATCTAATCTCGCCTCATGTGCACACATGCATTATGTGCTGGTAACGATCAGACTGTTAAGTGTGGCAAGAAAACTGAAATTAAACATTTAAAGGAATATTTTGTCTTATATTTTAATCTAATGCATGTGTATTACGTGCGCAACATACAGTCGATTACCATGGACAGTAATTGAAATAGCCTGGACACACTTCTCTGCTTAGTAAAAGATCAGAAAATGCGTTATCCTGAAATGCATTTGTAATAGAAGACAATGGGCAGATACTGGGGCAACTGAAAAATGCTGAAATATTCCTTTGAAGTGTAATATACTTCAGGTTTATAAGTAAATTACATTAAAGGTTTGGGGACTTCTAGGTTCTTCAGAGGGTTTTAATATATGAGCAAGCTTTCTTTACTTACAGTAACATATATATTACTGTATATAGCTGTTAAACGGCTGTTTATGTCTGGCTATGTTTTGTGAAAACTACAAAACTACAATAAAAAAAAGGGGATCAACCGACAAAAGTAGTGGTGTGGGAATAATGCCATACCCAATGCATTTTATATCCATGTAATGTCAGCAATCATCAGCACTCAAAATCTTCAGCTGTTTACCACCTTTGGCCCAAAAGATTTTCATGTGAGTTTATCAGTAGTTTTAAAAAGCTTTAGTTTAACCCTGCTACACAAAATTGACATAAAAGTGCCAAAGCACCAAATATGTATTCCTTTCTTTCTCTTTTTTATTTTACATATCACTGTTGTCGGAAGAACATCTCATATCTCCAAAATGAAAACTTTACAGGAGAAGGAAAAAATCTACTTTACTTTTAATGTAAGTCAGTGGAAGCATTTTTTTTGCTTTTTTTTTTGGCAATTTCTTTTGGTCCATTTATCCTGACATTTACACACAATTTAAAGGGCAACAGGCATTTTCAAATAATTTAAAAAACTGAAAAATGAAAAGATTGAGATACAGAGTTTTTCAGCAGTGATATTTTTTTCTTTCCTTTTTTTACTTTTTTCTTTTTCTCTCTCTTTCTCTCTCACATACACTAATACACATACTCACACTGAGCTCTGTTAATTACTGAACACTAAACAGCATGTCATCAGCAGCAGGCCTGTGGAGTGTGCAGAGGCACAAACAAGTGCTCCAGATTTAGAGGAGCATTTTGTCTCATTTAAACATCTGCCTCTGCACTAGTAGCTAGTTGTTTATCTCCTGTCTTACAGGTGTGGGCGCAACATGTTTTTGCTTCGATGATTATGAAACGAATGCTTTAATTGCCGTCATGCCACAGGCATGGGCATGTGTTTTTATATATATATATATATATATATATATATATATGTGTGTGTGTGTGTATATATAGTTTATTGTGTCCTTTTTGCAGAAAGATGCTTGGTTCTGAAAATTTGCAAAGTGTTAAATTGTGATGAATGTAGGACTAATGGAGTTATGACATAATGTAATATGCTAATGTACATGCTAATGTGAAAGACAGGGCAATATTTTTTTGTAGGGATGACATGAGAGTGCTGCATATTGTGTGTGAGAGAGAGAATGGGTTGTAATTAGTGAGCTGATGCACTGTGTGGATCCTAAGAAGCTGGCTCGTACTGACACAAAGCCCAGCAGTGTGACTGATGCCTCTGGTTGGGAGGCTGCGCTCTATGCTATTAGCCTGTTTCTAATGATTGAGGATTGAGCTTTGTACACACTCACATGTGCATATATATGTTGTGTGTGTCTTGAGTGTGTGTGTGTGTGGTTGGTGTTTGGATTCTTCTCTGTAGTTCCTCCTTACTGGGAGGCGTGCGGATCTGCAGTAATTGCCACCTCTCGCCCACACACAACACTGATGCCTTCACTGCTCACACACTGCAGCAGACTCACATACACAGACATACAAACACTCACAGACACACATGCACATACATATACAACATACATATATGCATACACACACGCAGTACTGTGCAAAAGTCAGAGGCCATCTTTTGTTTGTTTCATTTAGAGTAAAAATGACCATTAAGTAAAATGAATAAAGGGTGAAAACACTCACTTAAAAGAAAATCACACAGGAGCCTCAACAATTAAATATCATTTTTTCAGTGTTTAGTGTGTCCACATTTTGCTTTTATTTCTGCTTCCATTCCTTTCAGGAGACTTGATTTTAGTCTTTCAAAGAAAGCTGCTACTTTTCCACACCTCCAAAATTAAGTCTTAGTTGGTTGCAGTTTCTGCTTCTCACAATCCAAGTAGTCTCACATTCAGTGATGTTGAGGTCAGGAAGTGGCCTTTCCTCTTCGTTATTCAAGTGGACTGGGGGCAGTCATGGGCTGGAGGTTAGGGAACCAGCCTTGTGACTGGAAGGTTGCCAGTTCGATCCCCTGAGCCAACAGTTCATGACTGAAGTGCCCTTAAGCAAGGCACCTAACCCCCAGCTGCTCCCTGGGCGCAGTGGATAGGGCTGCCCACTACTCCGGGCAAGTGTGCTCACTGCCCCCTAGTGTGTGTGCATTCACTAGTGTGTATGTAGGTGTTTCACTGCACAGAGGGGTTAAAATGCGGAGGTGAAATTTCCCCACTGTGGAACTAATAAGGGTAACTAATCTTCTCTCACTCACTCTCTTTCTCTTTTCTGGAACCAGAAGCCATTGCAGAGGCCAGCTGCCTTGAAATGCTGTAGTACTGTTTTGTACCTGTTTCAGATTGATCTGCTTAATGCTTTCTTAATTCTGGCAGTTCAAGGCATTCAGCTGTTCTATATCCACCTGTCCTGGATACGGCTTGGTCAGGTAGCACTCAATACCCTAACCGTTCTAGACTGAAGCCAAACACACTGTACCTGAACTGCAGCCAGACACCCTGTAATATTGACCTGAAGCAGTGCCAGTAGCTGTAACTACAGTATTCATAACTTGGCATTGCCTTTTCAGGTTCACACCTGCGTGTCCAGCTGCGTGCTGCTGTGTTTAGTCTGAGCATCCTATATACAGCTAGCTTTCAGTAGAAGAGCACTCATAGTATGAGTGAGGCTGTTTTATTGTCTATTGCCAGCGACAACAAAAGCATTTTTATAAGTAGGAGATACATCTGTATGATTTGAATTTGGTGAATGTTATTGTTGTGCGTAGAATACACTACATCTTTTACATTTTTGCCTTGAAACCTGTCAATGCAGAATGTAAATCAAATGTAAATATAACTTCTTACATAACTAAATAATTACATATAAATACATACATATATATGCAATTACATACAAATATTTCGACGTTGTAAATGGAGTGTGCAAATTTCAAAATTACAGTGACGACTGTTGTCTTCTAAGGGTTATCCAGAACTTTTCTTGTCTCTGTACAGCTGAATATTGGTTTCTGTTCTTTTTTTCAGCCTTTTTTATCTGTGGATTGAAGACATTCTGACTGATGAATATTTTACCCTCAGCTCATAGATTTGATACTGCGCCATTATTACTGATCATGTCTTATTTTTACGGGTTAGTGACTGAACAGTCATTTTTGCTCTGTATCACCCACAGCCAGACAACTTGCCTTATTTGCTTCTCTCTCCCTCCATTTTAAAGATGGTATAAATAGTGCTGCTTTTGCTGGCTGGTGGTGCTTGTAGACTTCCTTTAATTATAGTAAGCTAAGCTGCTCTGTCACTGGCCTCAAACTGCATGCTGAGATAGATAAACAGTATTTCAGCTTATTCCAGGTTTAACTACTGAGATATTGAAGTATCTGTTTTAGTGTTGGAATTGGAGGCAGCAGTTTGGGAACAAAAATCAGATTTAAACAATCTCTCCCTTACTCCAAGCATAATTAATCAGTCAGAACACATTTGATATGTGAATGTTGCTTCTTTAATTTTGCACTGGAGGTGTGAGTCTAATGTAAATAACAAATACAAACAATTATGTAATGGAAGTTTACACCACACTAGTTAAATGGACAAAATTGCAGACAAAAATCAGGCTTCAATATTAGCAATGCTAATGAGCTATTTTGATAATGAAACATACTTTTGTCCTCTTTTAGAATTGGCAGATTTTTTCTCCAAACACCGCAATTTGTTGGCTGATCTTTGTTGCAGTTTTATGGTGTAAATAGCTGGAGGCAGATGTGTGCACTCTTATAGTATTTGAACAACTTATTGTCCTAAATAAGTAGTTGCCTCTTTTTCTATGTAGCGTTCATGTTATTTAAATAGGCAAAAAACAAACAATTGAAAAAAGCATTTTGGCTTTTAACAGTTAAACAGCATATATTGATATTCATATCAAATATAATATAAAGTACTGGAAATGTGCTAGTGTTTATAATTTTTTTCATTAAGCCCACCCAGTGTGTGCTTCAGGGAAAAAAAAAGAAAGGCCAATTAAAATCAGTCCAAAAAGTCGTTCATTGGTTAATTTGGCTGTGAAGAAAGCAGAAAGCCCGTAAAAAAACGTGATTATTGCAGAACTGTTTTGTAGATCTCATTATACCACGCAGTGCCAGAGTCCAAATTAGTAACATGGGTCGAGTGAGTGATGATTTAGGTGTGCATTTTGCACAGTGCTAATTGGTGACTGCAAACGCTTCCATTACTATTTAGCTACATTAGTCTTGTAGCTCCAGTGTGAGACGAAAGATGCTAACTTCAGACATCAA